TGGCAGAAGGCCATACCCAGGTTCAGGTACATTGAAGACAGCAACTCAGCATAGATTTTCACCAGATTGGGTTCTATAGCTATGTTCTGACCCCCAGTAAGTTGTCTTAGAAATTGAATGCAAATGTTTGTCACTGCAGAAGGCACAAATAAATGTCTTATAAATTGAATGCAAATATTTAAGGCATGAAATCATGTCCAAGAACAATCCAGGGGACAAAAATGCACCTGAAATATAAAAGGCCCTCTATTTTTTTTTCCTGGAGCCTCTCTCACAGTTCCCACAAGGCATGGTTCACCATGTGACATTCTTTTGAATGTATCCTGACATCCTCCTCTTTTTCTTATTTTTAAAAACATTATAGGATGTTTATATTATATATGTATGTGTTATATGTGATATATATATATATATCTCACATGCACACACAAATATGTATGCTTACATTTTTTAAAGCCAGAGTGGTAGATAAAGTTGATTGGTTTCAGGCATCTATTCTGATTTGGAGCCATTGAAATCCTAAGGGTAGCATGAAAAGTACAAGGTTAGGTGCAAGAGCACCGTGCTTGATGCATTGCCACCAGGAACAAGGATCCATGCCCTGTTAGGCATGGGCAGTCTCCTCTGCTAACCTTTGTTCTGAAATTCCAGGCCACTGCTTAGGAAATGTCTGAAGGATGTCGTGCTGGTACCCAGTGGTCTAGTTCTTTACACCCTAATGGGATAGAATAAGGGCTGCATGGAGGGTTGAGCATCCTGAAAATGCCAGCAAGCTTGAGCAATGGACTCGAAGGGCACAGTTTTTAAAATCAGAGTAAATATGGTAATAGCAAGAGCATTCAGGGGAGTCTCCCTGTATACTAAGCTGTGCAGTTTCATCTGTGTTTACTCCTTGGCCAAGTAAGCTGCTTCTGGATATAGATGCATATCTTTGAGGTAAATTTCATAACCAAAGAACACTGTAGTCTTGGCTTTAGTGGTTTCTTCAACCTTCTCCCAATGTGTACATCTGTATAGTTTATACAGCTTGGCTCACAAGCTCACAAGCCCACTAGATTTTGGGTTGTTCCACATGGTTTTTTTGTTTTTCTTTTTCCTGTCCACTTTTTTCTTTCTTTTTTTGTTTGTTTCCATCAGTTTAACGTCCACCAGTTCTTCGGACTTCCCTTTTAGTCATGGATGAAGTACTCCAAAAAGCTCATCCCTCTGCTTTCTCCTCCTGTTTGGCTTCTGTCCCACTCGACCTGCCATGCCACAGAGTCTCTCTGAGGCACTTCATGCTCAGTAAGGACAGTGTCTTTTATGTGTCTCCCTGCAGTCCTCCCAACAGTGATCAGTATGTAAACCACTGCATTTTAAAATGCTGAGTTGCTAGCAGAATTAGTAATGACACTACATTTCCCCATAATCACAGAAGCATTTAAACAAGGAATGGTGTGCCCTCTTTTTCTCTCTTTTTTTCTTTTTTAGTTTGTCTATTCAAAGCGTAGCTCTCATTCTAAAGAGAATCTAGGCTAAATGTAAGTGTGGCCATGGCCTGAGAACATGGGCTCAGGTCACCTTGCATGCCGTGTTCCACTGTGGAAGAGAGTAAATGAAATTGGTAGCCACAGAGGAAAAGACAGCCATAACTCGATGCATTTGCCAATCATATTGGTAAGGACATGAGACAGGCAGGTTAGGGCAGAGCGGGGAAACGGCTTCTGCGGGTTTTTGATGTTGTAGTTGATGGCCTAGGAGTCTGCTAAATAACACCATCTGATCCTTTTTCTTCGAAGCTGGATCCAGGGGTTGAGAGTCCATGGCTGTTAAATCCCTAGGGATGATCCCAGATGACTGAATCCTCAGACTCTCCAGCCCAGGTAGCTTTAGGGAATTTCAGTTCACAAGACTCACTTCATTTTTGGTTTTTAAGAACTAGAAAGAATAGCATTTGCATCATAGCATAGTCACTGCAGGTATTAGATTTACTTTTTCCATTATGGCGAGATTCACATGAAATCTTCAAATGTCTGATAGTGTCTTTAAGGTGGGTGGGTTCTCCTACTGAGAAAAAAATGGTAATTTCCTGTAACTTCAACTGAAGACAACATCTTTCCCACCTGTATATAACATGTGGCATTTTTATATGCATAGTTAACGCAATTGCTTAACCTCAAAGCAACACAGTGCTCCTGGCATGATGCTCAGGGAAATATTTTTGAATGATACAAGCAAGTCAAAGTATTTTGTTATACATCAAGCAGCTAAGCCTAGAGTAAGCATAATGGGGAATCGAAACCGAGCCGCGTGCCTCTGCCCTGAGGAAAAAAGACTTTATCTGCAGAAGCACAGAAGCCACCCAGCCACTAACTCCGTAGAAAGACGTGATTAATTTTGAGTATTTTAAAAGGTTTTATTATTTTAAAATTATTTTTAATGAAGTGTTCATGTGTGTCTAAGAGTGGCAGGTACAATTGTGTGCAGGGCCCAAGGGGCCAGTAGAGGGCAGTGGTGAACTCCTGGCGCTAGACATAAAGGTGGTTCTGAGCACTTGCTAGATACAGAGAAAGGGACTCCATCTTTTGCAAGGACAATTAAAAACTTGTTACCACTGAGCCATCTCTCTAGCCTCTTGACTGGTTGTGTTTCGTGTTTGAGACAAAGGATCTTGCTATGTAGCTCTGGCTGTCCTTGATGGAACTCCCTATGTAGAGCAGCTGGCCTTGAACTCACAAAGCTTTGTTTCTGTCCCCCAAATGCTGGGATTAAACGTGCACACCACTACGCCCAGTTTGAATGTATTTTTACTATAGTAACTCCACACTTTTCCCTCTTGTGATTCTTTGTATCCTATTTTCTGTGTATGTAACTCATCCCCCCTGTGTAAGGGAGTTAACTAGGCTTTGTCACATATGTCTAACTCAATTGTTCGTCATAGCTAGTGGATAGTGACTTGAAGGGCTTCACAGTGAAATGTGGGAAATTACAAAACAAGAAACTGCCTTGTTGTTTTGTCAGACTTTCCAAAACCCTTACAATACCATAACAGTGAAATCAATAAAATACATGAGCCTGAATCTAGAACAACTGAGAGACAAAAGTTTAAAACTCACATGCTAACAAAACTTTCATTTTCTCTAACTAAACTTCATGTCCATTTGCACACAGGGGAAAAATGCCAAAAGCAATACTAACGATTTGTCTGGCGAGTTACTGAAATCATCAGAATTGGAATTATACAACTCTAGTAATTTCATTTGAATTAATTTAAATCTGGAACTAAGCCAAACAAAGGTTGGAATATGATATCCAAATGGAATCCAGACAGCCTTCTATTTAGGATGTAATAGTATAAGCAATGTCACAAAAGTCTGGAGGGTATAGGAGGAGCGTAGGGAAATTTGTCTTTCCTAGGCCAGCCCATTAATCCATGAGTATGACTGATACTCAGAGCTGAGCCAAGGACTTGGCCTCCTGACTGTCTCCCTCTCTTTCATTAACTGTAAGAAGAGACTTGTCAGCTACATTTTGCACACTGAGGAAATATTCAAGAAAATTCAACAAGTTTGTATTTTTTTTCCTTTTCCTAATTTTCCCTCCGCAAAAGTAAATTTAATGCATCTGTAAAGGCATTTATAAAGGCATCTGTTGTGAATATGCTCATACACTCCTGATTTACCATGTTTGGGATAATGTTCACCCAGTGGCAAGGAGGAATATTTCTAATTGATGCAAGGATGATTTTATCTTTTCTATCATTGCATTTTAATGTATCTCTTGGCATTTTTTTTTAAAAAATTAACCTAATGAGAATTTGTTACAGTGATTGAAAAATACATAAATTCCCTTCTGGAAACTTCTTTATGAAGTGACAAACTTCTTTATGTTTTAGATGAAAGAAACAGGTTTAATAGAATGGATTCAAGGAATGATGGGGAAATTCTGGGTACTTTATGTCAACTATTTTTTGTAACAAAATAAGTATTCGAGGAAAACAAATACAAGAAAATATCTTTGAAGAGCTAACTGTGGTGTTGAGCATATTCAATGGTAGAATATTTGCCTAACACTCAAAAGGTCTCGAGTTCAATCCCAGTAATCAGAATGAAAAGTCAGCAATCGAAGTTTGGTAAGAGGATAATTAAGGTGACCTGGACTTGGATAGCTGAATGTCCTAGACCAACAGTAACCACCTGGGTCATTTAAAATCAGTCATCTAACCCAACAGTCAAGCAACTAGTGTGGGATATGTGCAATTGTCTTCCCACTTTGGTCTACCAGAGGGAGTGTGACATTGTGACCCAAGAAAATAGGTTATGATGTCTTCAGAAACCTAGAAATAGATGGGTGTCTCAGGAGCAAGAAAGGGAACTGAAAGAGAAGAAGACTGTCTACTCTTTTGATTTGAAAGCAGCCAGGGATGGCCTTATCTGGAATCCTTCTGCCTTGACCTCACAAATCCATCACACTTTGAGAATCTTCTGCTTCTTCTTCTTCTTCTTCTTCTTCTTCTTCTTCTTCTTCTTCTTCTTCTT